AGTGCAAGTACCCTCACTGAAAGCTCAAGGAGCTTTCACAGGGGCATGAAAAGACTGAGTTTTCCCCTGTGCCTGAACCCCATGCTTCAAATCCCAGCCCAGCTCACTGCAGGACAGGGAATCAGACCATGTCCTGCACTTTGCAAGCACAGGAGGGCAGGTGCACAAGACAGCCTTAAGCAACCCAAATTTGCCATCCCTTTGCATTGGCTCATCTTGCACGGTAATAAATTCCCCTGTGCATGGCACAGTCAAGTTGGCTGGCCCCAAATATGCAGCCAAGCCACACACTGACTGCAAGCAGCTCCAGTACTCACCCTCCTGCAGCGGCAGCGTGGAGACAGGTTCTCCCGAAGCTGTCGGGGGTGTCTATTTCAAAGCCTGCAGACAGCACGTGCTCATTACTAAACAAGGACACTATGCTATACTTTTGTCCTAGTTAAACCACAGGAAACATCGCAGAGACAGAAAAATCAGTTAGTTGGAAAGAAAACAGAACACAAGCAACTACAGTCAGAGAGAGGTTGTCAGGGGAACGGCTGCTCTGCTTTGGCAGCTCCACAGAGAGTCTGTGTCCACATCCAGCTCTGTGCCACATCCCTGCTCCCAGCCAGGTCACAGGCACCTCGGAGGCACGTACTTATCAAGAGGACTGCGACAGCAGGACATGAGGACAGAAAACATGAAGACACGAGGAAGAACCACAGAGTCAGCCTAAACATGAATTGGGGCTGTTTTTCTGGCATGTGGTTTTCAGACTGAAAAGAGGTTTCCAGGATATCTGACAAGGTGCAGGATGCCAAAGATAAAAGCCTGGCAGTGTTCACTCCGGTCACCCAGAGTTTTCTCTTCCTTCCCAATCTAGTGGTCAAGGCCAAAGTGCCCCATGTTTTAATGTAACAGAGAATGTAATTACCCTTTTTCACATTTTTAATATCCTACAGGACTTGAGCTTAGGGGGAAAAGTAGTTGTATGACATTTTACATATTAAGTAATGAAGCAGTTTTCTAGAAACCAACCTATAATCTGTCTTGTAATTCTTTAACTCATGGGAAGCCTTGTTTGGAAAAAAAGAATTTGGGATTTGGCCCTTGATTATTGCCTTTTTTGAAACAGTTATATCAGCAAACTCCTTCTTCTGCTTTGGGCTCTGGTGGGGATCCCAAGACTGCTCTCTTGCCACTACATTTCCACTCATTTTCCCTCTTGCACCCACAGAGCTTTGGCCAGCATAACTATTTCCTCTGTCCAGATTTGGAAACACACTTTAACTGTATTTAAAATAGATCATCATTGGTGAGATGTAAACACCTGTGCCAGTGCAGACCCCAAGGAGGTAATTTATGAATTATTCCTTTGGGGGGGGAAACACCCAAACAAAACAGTATTTCACACTACTACAGTTTGGAAAAGGGTCCTAAATTTCCACCCTCCTCCTGGTAAATTAGTATAAAGAGAAGAGAGCTTTGGGTGTGACCAGGACAGGATGTGAGGAAGTACCAGCATGCTGCTAGGAAAGCCTCACACGGTCTGGTACACCACAGCACAGCCAAACACAGCAGCACAGGAGTCTTTCATTGGAACAAGTCACAGTAAGGAGCATAAAGGGGCTGTAGGCAGCAGAGACACACACTACTAGAGCTGCACAGTCACTGTGGGATTTACTCACCTGCTGACAACAATTTCCTGCAGCAGTCTGAGTGAGCATTGAGCGCTGCTAAGTGTAAGGGGAACATGTTGTGGATCCCACACCTGAAAGGCACAACAGCCTCGTTACACAGCATCACACAGCAATGCAGGTTGCATACAGACACAACACACCCAAAGGTCCTTCCACAAAGGCAGCACTTCTTTATCCTTTTCTAGCAAGATCCTTCCTTGGTGCCTGCCATTATTTTTATCTGTATTTCCTTAACAGCCCTCTTGGGAGTTATAAATATTCTGATGCAGCAAAATCTTGGCATTATGCTTTGAACAGAATGTGGCAGGAAGGTTTCTAAAAATGCAAGGCGAAGCCAAGGTAAGGGATGAAGTGATAGAGCAGACAGTGCTTGGACTCAATTGCCCAGTGTGGGATGCACAAACTTCTGCACCAGCTACTCATACTGCAACTGCCATTCCGAGGTAAAAGGAAATGCTGAAGTCTTCTCTACATTATTTCTCAAACCCATTTTTCCTGCAGTTAACATCCGTTAGACAACTCTCATGCGGGTTTACAAAGCTTCTACTTCTTCCATCTCTCTCCCCTGCGGCTGGAGTAGCTGATGACTCTTATTCACATCTTTCTTTAGGCTGCCATGTCAGAGTTTTCATCCCTATCCTAAGAACTAACAATTTAATTTTCCTATTTGCTCTGGCTACTCTCCTCACACTTCCTTCCACTTTTTCCTCCCTTTAACATATGACCTTCTTTTCAATTACACTATAAACTTCCCAGAGCAGACATGATGAGCAAAAAAAAGAGATGTAGGCACTTCTCATTAGGCTAAATCTGTATCAGGCAACCACACAGTTTTTAAACAGGCTGAGCACTCAGCAACTTCAATTGACATCAGCAAATCAGCTCAGTTCAGTCCCTGAGTCATGCCACTGCTTACTGTCTTAGAATACCTTTGGGTTTGGCCATCTTGGCATCTGTCATTCAGCATTGTTTTATGTAAAGCATCTTGTTATTCTGAAATATTATCCCACCGGCAGTTCTCCAAGTGCACATAAACACAGAGTCTCTGAAACCAACCAGCTCAACAAGATTATCATCTGCTGCCTGCCTCAGCAGATAGAACTTTTTTTAATTACAAACTCTGGAACAATAGCAGACGGATTCATATCAGTCCTTCAATTCTGCAAGACAATTGGTGGATGGGAGAGTATGATCATCTCATGGAAGAGGATTTCAGATACAGACCCAAACACAAAGGAGCTTGTCTTTCTGCAAGACCCACCATAAATTACAATTACTTCGAAGCTTTAGACAAAAATTAATGTGGATGATGTTTATGAAGGTCTTGCTCTCTCCAACATTTTATACATAAATGTATTCCACCAATTTTGGCTTGTTTTTAAAAAACAAGCAGGCCTATCCTTCCTCTGCATGAAATGTGTCCTCCTTGCTGCTTCGCTACACTGAGGAGTGACTTGTGGTGCTGCACAAATTCTAATTTTGCTAGTGTAAGCATCTATATCTTAGAGTAAATCTCTTAAAGAGGATCTGACAGCCTGTTCTTAGAAGAAAACAGTGCAAGCTCCACCAAGCTGCTGTACCTGTACAGGTTGTACTTTGTAGCACTGGATTCATTTATATAAGCTAATATTGAACATTCTGTATTGCTGTGCTTCTCCTACACTCATTTTCCTTTATCTCCACCTCCACCTGTTATCTGAAGGAATATTATTCACTTTTAGGTCAAGATTTCCACCCAGCACATGGTTTTGGCTGGTTTCCATTGAAATACACTACCTGCACATCTGCTAACCAGCATCCCACTTCTGCAGTGCTGTTCACACTGGCTCCTCCCATCACTTACACACCTTCTCCTTCAAATGCAGCTGGCTCAAACACTGACTGAGCTGTCTGCTGTTGTTGCTAACAACACTGCAGAGTTTCTTTTCCTAAGCTTGTTCAGGGAGCTCAGCCAGAGCTATTTACATGCAGCATACAGGAAAGCACAGTCCCAGTGTTTCAATGCTCCTTGTTTAGCACACACAGTAGCATGGTTTGGACCTGTCTGGTATCTCTGAGCCAACTTCTGATATCACTTATTTCTGCTGCTGGAAAACACATTTTATTTGATCAACATTCTAGTCACCCAACTGTGAAATCAGAATTTCTAACTGGATGCCCTTGACTCCAAGAGTGGGCTGTCCCACTGACTGTACTGGGAAAAGAGCTAGGAAAAACATATACATCTGCTTAGACACCAAGATCTTCATGTTGGCTGTATTAATAAAATCCAGTGATGTCAGCTGAAGCCTGTGGAATTTCATTATCCATACCAGTCAGAGATCTGTTCCACCTCCCAAGTTTGCCTGGTGACAGTTGTACTCGACAAAGGAGTATGAGCAAATGTGGCACTTTCTTAAACCTTGTCAAGTAAACAAACAAAATACTGAGAGCTGCAGGTGTCTGCAAAATTAAACCCAGCTCATTTCATCTCAGAGCAGGTTTTCCTAGCTAGGTAAGGCAAGAGAAGTCACTGATTTCTATGGCAGGTTCTAGGTAGAAGACAAATTGTGTTTTGGAGACCTGTGGAGGTGATTGCCAGAACCTTACATTGATGAAATCAGATGCTGCTATTAAACACCTGGTACAGATATCCCTCAGGGCACTGCATTACCCTCATCTCAAAGCCCTTTGTTTATGTTCAGGTTTGTTATTTTCTTTTGACCAACCATAAGAACATGAACATTAATTATCTTATGTCATACCAAAAGATACAAGACAACAAAATCATCACCATGTATGAAAGGTCACTAAACATAAGGCTAATTTAGATACTTAAGAATATGCACACGATTCCCTTGGAAAGCATCTGATTTTTTTTAAGTTTTCTATACAAACTCATTGCTATGGACTTTCTGGAACAACTATGATCAAGATGCACT